TTCATCTCGATTATTCAGCTATAACTCCGTTGTCTATTTATATTTATATTTATATTTTGGATAATTTATATATTTTATATATATTAAAAAAATATGCATTATAATATGTATTTTATATATAATATATATTTATAAGGCCAATTACAAATTGGGTCATTCATCTAGTTTAATATTTTCGATAAATTTTTCTTTCATAGCCTCAGAAATTTTAAATTTTAATTTTTCTATTTTTTTAAATTTTTCTTTTTCAAAGTCTTTTCAGAATATTAGTTTTTTATTCCCCATCATACCGGATTTACTTTTTCAAATGAAAACTAGTTGTATACAATATAAGAAGTCTATCGAGCACAAAAATGCACAATTATAAGTCACTTCAAAAATCATTTTAATGTGTTTTTGAACGTAAATTTTATGATTTAGCGTGATTAAGAATATCTGACTTTTTCACCATAGAATCACTTGGGGATAAAGTTACAGGTGGAGCCACAGCAACCACCCGAATTTTTGACATGACAGGTTACAGGTGTCAAGGACAGACATAATTATCTTATAATATTATTATAAATTTTATATATATTTATTTCAATTCTTTGTTTTTAAATTTAGAAAAAAGAAAAAAAAAACTTAGCTCGTAGTTTTATAGAGATTCTAAAAATATTCAGAAAAAAAACAACGGAATAGCAACAATCGCTTAAGAACAAATAAATCGCAAATATTAAAATTACTGATTAGGGTTCGTTCTCCGTCGTCCACCACAAGAGTTGAAACACATCGTTACTTAGTAAGTGATGGGTGTCAAATGTGAAGAAGTCAATCAAGACCTTGACTGATACGATCAGAAAAGATTTTGAATGTATAGATGGACCAGCAATATATGGACTTAGACGATGGAAAAAGGAATGGCTTCCATTACTGTCGACGATGGCATCAGACCGCATCGTTCGGAAGCGTTTTATCATTGTAGCCATTGGACCCAGCCTAATCAGTAATGGATGAGAGCTGTTAGATGAAGAATCCTTACTTCGATGCTTTAATTCATATGGTGTCCAACTAAAGAACGAGCAGGTTTTATACTATTGGAGTTTGAATTAGCAATAATATTTTCACAGATTACTAGTTAGACGAATTATTTACACTAAACTTACATATAGGAGGAATTCATTTCGTCGTTGGCTAGATGATGAATTATTTATTATAGATCTTTCATTTTTTTTCCAGAAAAGACGAGTTGGATTAGATTATTGTGTTGAATGGTTCGGTGTCTTCGGTAGGAATAATCTATTATAAAAAATGGTATTGGTGAGCCATCTGTACTTCCATCGCGAAATAACTCCCTTGGACCCCCTTGCAAAAAAAGTTTTGATTAATAGTTAATAGAGCGAAATAATAAACGTTAACCAATCAAACAATTTTTAGTTCCATTTGTGAATAGTTTATTTTCATTAAAAAATTGTATTTTATCAAAAAATCCCAGCGATTTTTCATAATTTTTCATGAATCTTTCAAAAATTATATTTGAACCTTTTTATGATTTTAATCATTTTTTGAGCAGTTTTTTATACAAATTTTGTTTAGGATATTGTGAATTTAAGAAAATAATAATTATTTTATTTTTAAAATTATTCAATGCATTTTTTATTAAATTAGGTAAGAAATAATAATAAATATGGAACTCTTTTAATATTATAATTTTGATAATTTAATATTTCTGCCTTATTTTATTTTATAAGCATCACTTGATGTAATATCTCTTGACTTTAGTGTTTTAGAAAGCATCAAAATTTTAAAAAATTCCTTCCGAATATCATTCAACAACTTATAGATTTACGAAAGTTTAAAAAAAAAAAAATTATGAAAATGATTCATGAACTCACGAAAAATAAAAAATCTCTTCAACATCTCCTGTAGGTTATGACCATCCTCAGCCTGATGTCATCTACCAAAGGTCTGGGAGAGGTTCCTTCGCGGTGTCTTAACTATTCCTATCAGTGCTTTATTCTGAATAGAGATCTCTGATCTTATTCCTGGAATTTGCTGAAGCCAATTTTCTAGTTTAGGGGGCATAGTTTCAAATGCTGCAATATTTATGTATATACATATTATATCTTAATAGAAGTGGCGACTTATATGCGAATTCTATAAATATATATGTATATATATATTTATATTTATATATATTTATATGTATTTATATATATTTTATATATAACTATAATTATTATTATTAAAATTAATTATTAATTGTCATTAAATTATATAATATATATAATAATAATTATTAAAATTATATAATATATATAAATAATTTATATATTATATATATATATAAATAATTATTTTTTACCAAATTTTTCTAAATCTTATTGTTAAGTTTTCCTAAAATTGCGTTCTTTTGGATTTCTGATTTTTGATAATGCTCTGATAATGGAATCTATTGAAACCACTTTTTGAGTAAGGGCTGTAATCTCTATGGATGGAATCAACACCATTTATATATATATATATATATAAATTACGAAATTTATAAGTATTATAAATTTTATGAATATTATAAATAAAAATTATAAATCTATAAAATTTATATATATAAATTTTTATATATTTTTGAAGGTACATAACTAATTACATTGATTTTATTCCTTGTCTTAAATGTGTTTGCTTTGAAAAGAAATTTTCTATCGACCATTAATTTATCATGTAAAACGACCGGTTTGTTGAACTACTATCTTTGATTAACCTATAATTTTCGCCACTATTTTTATTTGTTTAAACAGATTGTTCTTATTTATGATTTCATTTTTAGCAAAACAACAAAAACATATAATAACAGGAATTCAACGATAGAAAATTAAGATGAAATATTGGCGTTATTATTATTGTTGTTGTTGATTTATATGAAATATTATTAATAAAAATAATAATATTTTATGGATTATAGTAATAATTTTTGAGGAAATTATTTTTTTTTTTAATATATGATCGAATAACGAAAAGCTTTTTCATTATATTACACGCAATTTATGCAAAGAACAGTAAATTATAAGTAAAGCCAAATTTTATTACTATAATATTTTTTCACGATTTTTTTTACGATATTTGATTTAATGATAATTATAATAATTGAATTTTTAGCTGTAGTGATAATGACCTTAAATCTTTTTTTTTTCTTTTGTTAACTATCCTTTTATTTTGGCTATAAATTCATGAAAAAAAAAAAAATATATATATATATATATAAATTAGTTGTGTAGAGTAATTTGTTCAATCGCTTTATCCAGCTATTCTTCTTCTTCTATTTAACAGTTCTCAACATCAATGATAAGGCTACAAGGGAAAACGTTTGTGCGTGCTGTTTGATTCTTATTCAACTGTTAATTTCATCTGTAGGATAATTCGCGATTCTATTACCATTTTCATGACAATAATTTTCATGCTACGCGATCTAAGTCAGCCTAAACCTACTATTACTATTGGCTTAACGGCCATTAATTACGCTATATTTTATATATTGGCCAACTTCATTTTGACAATATTTATTAATATATTACGAATAGTGAAATTTTTTTTTGTTTTATTAATAAAAATTTTTTATAAATATCAAAATCATTAGAAAATTTATGCATGAATAATAATAATAAATCGTTAGACAACAAAATGCCATTTTATTAGTGATAATAAATTCAAATTCTCTTTTAGGTTTACCTCTTTTTTTTTTGCAATTTTTATGTTGTCGCATGTTTGATTACTTCTACCCGCCTTGTCTTTTATTTCCATCTATGATCTTAGTATTAGTAGCTATTGTTGCAACGAACTATTTATTGCTCATTTTTATAAGCGAACTTTCAAACAATTATTTTTCTCATGCACACTTTATTATTAATATTTCAATCTTTATTCTGTAATTTTTTCATTTTTTATCATTTTTTATCATTTTTCTATGAATGAATGAATGATGCTTAATTGCTAATTTATTGCTATTATATATTAATTTATTTACTTATATTACGTTTATAAATAATACGTATATCGATAGTGAATAGAAAATTTTTTTAAAAAAATTGCAATAATCCGTCAAAATAGCGAAAAAAATAAGAAATCATTAAAGTTACAATATTTATACACCATTGAATTTATTAAAATAAGCGGTAATAAGTTGAATTCTTCACGTAAATTTGGAATTTTTCTAAAAATTTTGATGCAAAAAACCAAAAAATATTTAAAGGTGAAAATATTTAGAAAATAAGAAAAAAATCAATGAAATGGTTAAATTCGAATATTAATAGAGCTCTGAAATTAAAAAGTTATTAAAAAAGAAAATATTTTCCTGAAAATGGCTAAAAAATGAGAAATTTTCAATTAAAAAATTTTTTTTTTATTATAATTATTATTTATAAGAAGGATTTTACGACGGTTTTTTTCTCTATTATTATCATTAATTTCTTTTATCAATTCACCATTATTAATTTCGACTTTCATCCTCTTTTTTTGGAATATTATTATTATTTATTATTTTTATTATTATTTATTATTTTTCTATTTCCATAATATTTAAATTGCTCGTACTATTTCGATATTTAATTATTTATTAAAATTTCTTACTACATTTTTGGTTTTAATAAATTCCTCTAACCACTAAGGTGGGCAATTTCTAAAATTTCCGGGTCATCGATTTTTTTTCACTGCTTTACTCGTATAAATATTGTTTTCTGGAGAATTTTCTGGAGAATTTACTATTTTTTTTTCTCTTTTATTTTTAACATATTGAAAATATAATAATGAAAAATTCATGAATCATTAAGACTGTGAAGCAAGAAATATAATAACATTCTAATATTAATCCTATCCAAGGTAAATGATTAAAAATTATTAAAATTCTTAAATTCCAAAGAATCATTTAAACAATAATTGAGAACAAAGAGAAAAATAAGCGAACTAATAAATATTTATCGAAAAATTACGTCGATTTTGATAAAATTTATTTTTCATATTGCAAATTTAGCTTCAAATGTTTTTATTCTCTTAATTCAATTTGCTGTTTTTTTTTCAGTTTTCCTCTGTTGTCGATGCCGATGGGACCAATGATCCTGATGGATAATCAAATGAATGGGCCAATATATCATAATCAACATCACATACATCCAGGACCACCACCGCCAAATGGTTTGCCACTTCTTGCCGCTGGTCATACTTCTTTAAATCAGACGACTACATCAAATGGCCAACCAACATTGATGACATCGTCAATGAATAGGTCACAAAGGTGAGTGAATTTATTCAAGATAAATCGGTGATTTTGTTTTTTTATTTTCGATGCTAAAAAAAAAAGATTGATAATTTTTGGATTTTAGTTGTGTAAAATACGTAAAATAATTTTTTTATTCATTTTCATGCTTTAATGGTTATTTGGAAAATTATTTAAATTTTTTTTTTCAATCTGATTTTATGAAATTTTCATAAATTTATAATATATGCATAACATTAGTAGAATATGCGAAATAAGCAAATTTTTCTTATATATAAAATTTCTAAATAATTCAAAGTGAATTTAAAAAATATGCTATTTTCTCTTTATACGAATTACTTTTTTCAGAAAATTTTTCGATAAAAATGAAAAATAGAAAAAAATTTTTTTGCCATTTGAAGGAGAAAATTAAAAGGAAATTGTAAATAAATAATAAACTTTAGTTTTTAAACTACTTTAAGTCTTTTAAATTTATCAATTTTGTTTGCAAAGATTTTATTAAAATTGACATTTTGTCATCGAATTGCATTCACAATAAATATTCATCATTAAGTAAAATAAAAAGTTTTAGAAAAAAATTAAATTTCTTAAAATTATTTCGTGAATACTTATTTATTGAATCCAAAAATTTCATGATTTTTTTTCCATTGGAATTTATTTTTAGAAAACAGTAGAGAATCAATGGTGCGTCGGTGGTTGAGTGGCATGATAATTGCTCGAGACTTGGATTCAAATCCACCCACGCACCATTCTTCGTTATACGGCACTTTTGCCTAACGGAGAAAGAGAAAGTGAATTGTTGCACAGTTGGGAAGGCCTATGCTAAGATTCTACTCCTAGTAGGAATAAATCTGTCCAAAAATCCGGATAATTTCACGATTCATCTGTATTTCTAGCTCCCTATCATATCTAATCCTGGCAAGTGAGCTCAACCAGTAATGGTGACTGCTATAACCAGTAGAAATCCATAGAATCAATATTTGATCTAAATATTTTTTAGAATAATTCATAGAAATTTTGTAGATGCGGGGTGTGCAGAGGATGTCAATGTAAACCATGTGGTCAATGCACGTATTGTCAAGATAGTCCTCAATTTGGTGGACCTGGTGTAAAAAAGCAGTCTTGTATCGAACGCCGATGCCTTCGCGTTCTAGAAAACCGGTTACAAGTATGTCACAGCACTACAATTTGTCTTTCAAATTTTTTAAAGTCATTTTTTAGAATATAAAATATAAAAATAAAAAACATAGCCTTATTTTTTCTATATTGTTTTTCTAAATTTTATTAGCATTAGACATTTATTTTTATTTTAATTTGATGAAATTGATTTGGATGATTTTAAATATTAATTTTTTTGTTAAATTTTTAAATTTTTAGCGTGATGCACCATCATTCAAAGCTCGTGTAGGTTGCAATAACTGTGAGGATTGCCGATTGCCCGATTGTCTTGGATGCCTTGTTTGTCTTGATAAAAGGTAAATAAAAATTTGTAAAATCTATCGTTTGCGATATCGATGTTGGTGAAATTCAACGAAATTTAATGAAAACTGACAGAAATTCGATTTTAGAAATTTTACTTTTGAGAAAAACAAAATTTCCTTGAAGATTTATTGTAATATTCTATATATATTTTTTCCTTCTAGCCACATGAAAAAATCTGAAATTTTTTTAATAAGAAATTTATCTTTTAAAATTCAATTATTTGGTTGAATTTTTACTAAAATTTTGCTTTTGCTCGCATATCAATTCGCAATTATATTTGATAAGTTTTTTTATTTTTTTTAGATTTTTCGATAATCGCTATATGACTGGTGCTATGTGCGCAAAAAAGCGTTGCAATAATGCGACAAGCATAGAACTTCCGGCCACGCAAAATGCCGAACTGCGACAGGTAATGATAATTTCATTAGGAATTTAATAGTTTAGCATTTAATATTTTCGTATATGTTCAAATATGCGTCTATGATCTAATGATAATAAATAAGATTTAATTAAATATTATAAAAAGAACCTGCAAAAAATTTGCTTATGTACAAGAATTATTATTTATTGAGAATTTGATAAAAATTATCATTAAGTTATGCTAATATAAAATTGTTTAGACCATTTTTATTTGATACCTCAAATTGATAAAACATATTATATATGCCTAAACCGGTTTAATATTATTATGATTGCTAACTGTAGCATTGATAACTGATAACAATAATATATGTTTATGAAAAATATATGAATTTATAATATATAAATCAAAAAAATTTTTTTTAGAATTTTTCCATTATTTAAATAAGTAAATTTATTTATTGCTAGCAAAAAAAGGAATAAATTTATGAGTTGTGTTAAAAAATTTTTAAGCAAAGAATTTCTTTATTATTCCATATAATGGAAATGATTTCGGAATAAAAAAAAATTATTTTATGTGGTACTTTTTTAAAATTGAAATAGAAAAATGAGCAAAGTAAATGCAATGCAATATAAATATAATTATAATTGAAAATTTATAGCACTAATTTCTTTTTGTCTTTATTGCGTTTTAACCAATAATTTGAGTTGAAAGTAATATAAAGCGATTTATTTCTTTATTATTTTATTAATTTTTTGTTTCGTTCATAAAATATAAATTTTTATTTCGCTGTAAAAGGAAGGGGGAAAAAAAGAGCGAAATTATTTTTTTAGAGCGATGGAAAAATTTTTTGAAAACAAAAAATATATTTGAGAGAAATAGATTTTTTTTTAAAACCAAATCTTAATTTCCATAATCTTTTTGTTTATTATTCAGCAAAAAGACTTTTGGGAAAAACCGTTATATTGGAAAAGGGTAAGGTGGGGCGGGGTAGGGGGGGGGGGGTGGGCAGATGAGACAAAAGTGAGAGGATAGGCAAGCAATATGCTCAGGGTCTCCTACTAAAAAGTAAAGAAGCCTGGACGATGCTGATAGTGTTCTTCTGTCTATAATTGCAATCCCTGATGAAGTGGATTCAGCTCTATGATAATCAGTATAGTCAGTATCCAAGATAATCAGTATCCAAGTCAGAAATATATTTTAGTTTTAATTTTGGTCGGGAGTAATTTAAAAGAAAATTGAAAATATGAAGGAGAGATTGATTGTTTTAATGAACTTTGCTAATATTCTTAATTCGAGGTCATAAATTTAAAGCGTCTAAGATAATTAATTTGGATCGAAAGGTCGATAAGTCGAAATAGTCGGATACTACGGTAATTTTTTCCCTATTCTTTTATGTATATATATATATATATTTCTTTTGTTCCTTTAAATTCCACTTGAATAATATTGCTTATATTTTTAGCAAATCATAATAAAAACAAAGACGAATAAATAATTTTTTATTTCTATAAATTTTTTAGAATAAAACTACTGCAAATTTAAATAAAAAAAAGGCTTTTCAAGATTTTAAGATTTAAGGTTTTTAATGAGTCACCGTAAATTAGAAGTAAAAAGCAAAAGCGAACAATAGAATTTCCCTAGAGGCATTCATTATTTCCTAGAAATAGAATAAGGATTAAGATCGCTTCCATAGCTTATCATATCAGAAAAATTTTGCTTAATTGGATAAAGGTTGGATAAAGATGCAGATGGATCGCCCAGAAGACAAGAAGACAAATCCGTATCATTCTCTTCTCTTAGAAATAATTTTCAGCTTTACGTAATTAATTTCTCCGCAAATTAATGATTTTTTTTTGAAGAAATTGAGAAATTATTTTAAAAATTATTTAAGATCATTATTTTAATAAAATTTTATAAATAATTCCAATCATTAATTTCATCTCTCTTATCTTTATGGTTAATGAAGGTCATTTCACCAAGGTCAAACAATGTTTCAACAATCGTCTATAATAAAATGATTTGATATATTTATATATATATATATATATGCATATATTTTTATTATTAGGGTTCTACGCGATTTGTTTTAATTTATTAAATTTCAATTTATTTATTATATTAATTTAATTAATATTATTTAATATTATAATTAATACTATAATATTAATATTAGTAAAATATAATATTAATATTATAATATTAATATTATATTAATATATTAAATAATAAAGTAATATTAATATTATAATTAATTAGTGTTAATTTAATTAATATATTATATTAATATTTTTATTATATTATTATATTTCAAAATTTTAAATTCAAAATCTTTTTTGATCTAAAATTTCCACTCTAATTTTTCATTCATTCATTTTAACTATATTTAATTAATTATTCATTTTTGCTATAAATTGTTTGAATAATGCTAATCCATCGATTCAAAATTTATTACAATTATAATGGCATTTGACTTGTTTAGTTTCCTTAAGATTCATAGTTTTTGCAAAAATTAAAAAATTTTTGTGGCACGGAATTTTTAATTTTCATATTCTGAGTTATGATTTAAGCTGTTTTTTGTACCATTGAAAAGTTTTTTACCATAAAATTAGTAAATTTAATAAAAATTTTTCAGGCTCATAAAAGGTCATACGAACATACGGGACCTTCTGAATATCAACTAATTAAGCGTCGTGCACCAGCCGCAATTGAACCACTCGGATCTCAACATCAACGTATGATTGGTCTACCTCCTCCAGTTGTTCCAAATGGTCAGTGTCCACCGCCCGGAGCACCTCTCTATCCTGGTGCTCCTATGGGTCAGCCACAATCAATTCGTCTATTACCACAACAGATACAGCCACATCCGTCACAATTGATGATTCCTCATGGAACATCGATTGCTCCTATACCATCAACTAGTGTAACGACTCTACAAACATCAATTTTAGCTGATAGTTCTCAAATGTCTCATTTAAATCATTCAAATACGCAATTTTTACCTCCCAGTCCATATTTTGTGGTACCATCATTTTCACAAACATATTTTGACGATTCCGCACCACTAGCCGATCCATTCGTACCTCCAAGTTATGCACCAGAAATGAAAAATGCCGTCGTACTACAACCTTTATAATTATTCTATGAAGACTATACGGTATACAATTTTCTGCGAGATTTGCGTTTAATCTCAGATTTATTTTAAAGCATCTCTGCTGACGATTGTTGTTGTTTTTTTTTTTTAATGGCTCTATTCGATCCTTATTTTATAAATAAAATAAGAAGGCAAAATGACAAATGGTCATAGGTGAATAAATTTTTATCGTTATTGTTAGATTCACATATCTGTCACCATTCTGTGATTTGATTTCTTATATTATCCATTTTCTATTAATATAATGATTTTTTGATAATTTTTATTTATTTTCGATTTTTTTATTTCTTACATATACTTAATTTTTATATAAATTTATTTTGGTAATTAAACTGCTAAAAATGCTTTTAAAATCGGTGAACTTTTTTTCTTTTTTTTTTTTGAATTCTAAATTAATTAAATTTATTTTTTCAGTGTTTTTTATTTAAAAAAATTTTTTTTTCTTTTATATATATATATAAATTGCTGAAAAAAGTATTTTAGCAGTATTTTTATTTTTTTTTTCTTGTAGGAATTTATCTTTTTTTTTTTTTAAATAAATGAGCTGAGGTTGAGAATATAATTTTTAAACATATGATAATAAGCAAACGTTTCATTCACTACCATTGCCTTTCTTTGTCTTTATTATAATAAATTTCGAACTAAATCAATGATAAACCTTAATATTTAGGTTTAATTTTTAGAAAATTCTGAAAAAAAAAGACCTCAGTTTGTGCCTCCTATATATTTGCATATATTTTTGTTTTGCATATTTTTTTTTATGTGTGAATATTCGTTCTTTTTTTTCCACTATTATTGAGAATATTTGCCTTATAAGAAATAATCAAATAAGCTTACTTCTTTTTCCTTTAAAAAACAATAACTATTAATTGCATTTATTAATGGATAAAAAATACTGCTAAGCTAGTTATTTTTAATATTATTATTTCTAAAGGTAATATTCTCACGCAAATTGAACTTTTTTATATACAAAAGTGTCGCTTAACCGTTATTTTCTTTTTTATAGTGCCTTATTGCGACAACTTCTTTCCGGTAGTTTTTATTCTTATTATTCCACTTGGTAGAATCATTCCCATTTCGAGATTTAATATTTAATGGTGGAATTATGGACAAAATGATGATATACGTGGTAAAATGCATTAGGGAACTGTTATTAATAGAGAAATTAATAATTAAACAGTCATCTCGACTACCAAAGTTATGTGTTACTTTTATGGTACAAAAGAATGTTGCGATTTTATCAAAAACCTTTGATTTTATCATTTTATCCATTCCTTATCTGAATATATATATATATATATATTTATATTATATTGTTAATTATTATTATATTGGTTATCATTTTATCACTACTTATTGTATATGAGCATTTTAATTAGAAATTTAGAAATTATTATTATAAGGCTTATGATTATTTGCTAAATTTATTTTGTCTTTGCCATTTTTAAAGTTTGGGATGTGATAAATTATTACAAAATTAGGGTTTCAGTCATAATGCTATGCTTGATTGCTGGTTTGCTATTAGAATGAAAGGGATGGTAGGTAAAAAAGAAAAAAAAAGAGAGGTCTTTGTATATAATTTTCTAAGTCTGCGAGGCATCATCGTTATTTATAAACTTTCTTTCCATAATTCCGATTCTGCATGTAAAAAAAAAAAAATAATGTAAATACAAACTGATAAAAATAAATGGTATGGAAAACATGAAAAATCGATGTATTTCGAATTAAAATGGATATTTTTTAATTTTGTATAAGCAATAATAAATAATTTTTTTTTAAAAAATTTTTATAAATCATATATTCTTCGTTTTTTTTCTTTGATGAAATGAAATTGTATAATGCTTGTAATTCTTCAATTTTTTTTTATCTTATAAATTTTTTATTATCTTATCATTTATCAGACAATATTTATCGTTTTCAT